TTATCATGCAATAAATTGATTTATTGCGATAAATCAATTTCAACATGAACATGACTGTAGGTCATGTTCAACAAAACATTCCAAAGAAAAAACAAAATTTGAAAAAGTTTTTTTATTCTTTATTATTTTACTCATCTTCTAGGTGTCGGATAGTGTCAGTGTTGACTGGACCAAAATGTAGCATGGGACTTAGGATGGTAATGGAATTAATATTTAATCAAGAAACTTCTGGAGGACACAAGGAAGGCATAGGAAAATTAACGGAGGAAACAGTGAGGAATACTGCAATCTGAAGAAACCACAAGAGCTAATCACAGGTGAGTAGCTGCAGCTGGGGCAGGGAGGTAGAGGTACATGGGAAACTTCTGGAAGACCAATTTCTATATTCATTTTCTTTTCTATTGTCTATGTTGTTCGTCTGTCTCTTTTTATCTTTTATCTGTATGCCTCTCTCTCTCACCATCATGTATGTATTTCATTACCAACTCAGTCTTCATATACAGCCAAGCTGAGTGGCCCCCTCACACAGTCCAATGGGCCTGCTATAAAGCTAGCTAGAGAGCGAGCTGAAGTACAGGAGAGGCCACCGAGGGACACAGAAAAGGCTCACGATGTGATCTGGCACCATTTAGACAGGCTGATGGAATAAAAACACTTACCTTTTGGTTCCCACTCTGTGGTTTGGAGCGATGTCGATGGTGTCGGTGGCGGAGTCATGTCGAACAGCCAGACCCAGGTCAGCGATGCAGCAGGTCCCGTTCTTCTTCACCAGGATGTTCTTGGACTTCAGGTCTCTGTGAGCGATAGCTGGCTTTCCTGCACATACAGTTAGAACGTCAACAAACAGTTGCCAACAAGTTGTGGTCACCACAAGAATCAATCTAGGTTTTAAATACGGCACTGGGTTAGTCAAAGATTATTTTAACAAAGCCTTCTGAAACTGGAGGATTAAAATCAGTGAGATAAACTTGAATTTCCACAGCAATTTTAGAGATTAAATCAATTAAAAAGAAACATGTTCGTATTAATTGATGTTTGAACTCTATTATGAAGCTGTGTGTAGCAGCTCACCTTGTGTCCCTACGATCTCCATGTGAAGGTGGGCCAGGCCGCTTGCGGTGGATAGCGACAGCTTGATCATGCCTTCCACAGTGACCGTGTAGCGGTTCAGGTAGTCGAACAGGGAGCCGTGTTCATGGTAGTCTGACACCAGCCACAGCTGAGTCCAGGTTCCGTTATCTGCCCAGACACACACACACAAAACCACCATCCACAGGATGAACTCGACTAGAACACCTCCCTACCCCCTCTTCACTATGAGAGGTGCTGTTCTGAATGGAGAAATCAAGATGAGCTGATAATCCCACACTAATGAGTAGAGAAGATGGGTCTCCATTGTTTATTGTGTAAGTTCTTAAACTTTAATCATTTTCATCTTCACTCAATTTCTTCCTTTGACCGAGCTGCTGGTATAGTTTTCTCACAGAGGGTGCTGAGGCCTTGGCTCACCTTTGTTATCGGCAGCGATAAAGCCCAGGATGTTCTCGTGGCGCAACATGACGGTCTGGTAGATCTCAGCCTCACGGAACCAGGAGCGCTCTTCTCTGGAGGAGAAGATCTTCACCGCCACCTCCTCACCACGCCACTTACCCCTCCACACCTCGCCAAAACGTCCCTTCCCGATGCTCTCCTGCAGGATGATAGTTCTGGCGATGGTCCTCTGGACCAGCAGAGGCAGGCCTGTAAGGAAAACCCACAAAACACAGGAGAGGCTCACAAAGCTGAAAGGCTCTGTTCCTGTTGGACTCAGCATCTTCTTTTCTGAGCTGCCAGATACAGAAAAGAAAGGAAAAACAGCCAAGTGTTTGTCTTCTTACATTGAGACTGATCCTTTCTACTGTTGCTGTGTGCACGCTGTGAATGCACAACAGCACTGCTAAATGTGCAGAAATCTATAAATGAATGAAAACTACCAAGTACCTCACAGCTCCACCTCTTGAAGTTAAACATGACATTCTTCTTCCACATGAACATAAACCACTGAAAGTAAAACCTTGTTTTTTATTGTGATTATTTCCTTTATTTAACCATGTCAAAAAAAAAACAAAAAACAATGAGATCCAGATCTCATTTTCAAGAGGGGCCTGGGCAGAAAACTGCAACACACAACAACCTGGAACACACAAAAGTAAAACTAATTAAAAACAATGACATTGAATCATGTTGCATGTTTTTAAAACTGCTAGAAAAAGAAATAAGATCCAAAAATTTTAGTTTATTCCATCCAGTGGGTGTCATGATGTGATTTTTTTGGCGGTGAGGAAGACGCTCATAGGCCCAGGCAGACAATTAGAAGGTGTTTAATGAATAAATCCAAGATAACAGAATCAGCAACACAGGGCGCACAGAGGACACAAGACATGTAGCGACAGACAGACATACCATAGATCAGTGGTTCCCAAACTTTTTCTTCTGCGCCCCCCCAGTGGATTCCA